AGCCTGAGGCCCTGGGTTCGATTCCTCAGCACCACATAAGCAAAAAGAAAAAAGCCGGAAGTGGTGCTGTGGCTCCAGTGGTAGAGCGCTAGCCTTGAGCTGAAGAGCTGAGGGACAGCGCCCAGGCCCAGAGTTCAGGCCCCATGACCGGACCCAAAAACAAAACAAAAAAAGGAGACTCCATTTAACAAGAAAAAGTCTGGGCACTGGTGCCTCATTGCCTGCAAACCTAGTTACTCAGGAGGCTGAGATGTAGGTTCATGGTTTAGAGTCAACCGGGGCAGATACGTCTGTGAGACTCTGACCTTTAGTTATCCACCAGAAAACTGGAAGTGGAGCTAAGGTTCAAGTAGCTCATTGGCCTTGAGCAGAAAAGCTCAGGGACGATGCCCGGGCCTTGAGATCAAACCCCATGACCGCCCCCCCCCAAAAAAAAGAGGAAGGTCAAAGGAGGGGGGGGAACAAGAAGAAAAACATGTAATTGAACTAGCAATCAGCCTCCTGACTTCCATCAGCATCAATGGAGGCTTGAGAGTGTGGGAGGAGGGTGTGCATTGAGACCGTTGACCCCGATGCCCGCCTGTTCATCTTCCCTTAGCCCTGTGCTACTTGATTTTGTTTTGTTTCTCTGATTAAGCCTGAGTTTGAGATTTCACCTCTCTCCTGGGGGGTAGTGTTCTCTATGAGTGACACCCAGCAGAAGAGAAAGTGGCTTGCTATTTTGTCAGAATTTGACTAACTTACAAAGATATGTCCCATGAATATAACTCCGTTTTGGAACACCTGTGCTGGAGTTTCTGCTTGGGGTGCTCCCTATTTATAATCCACAGTTTGTACTTGTGAGTCCAGCCACAGCCATACTTCATCAAATGCCCCAGCTGAGCACTGTGTCTGTTGGTGAGCAAGCTTCAATCCGAGGTGCCTATTTATTTCTAGTTCTGCTGTGGCCCTGAGTGTCATCCTTGCAGCTGCCACCGGTCTAGAGAGTTCATTTTCCATGGCAGACACATTCAGATGAACAATAGAGATAGTTTTCCTTTGTCCTGCAGAACCACACTCTCACCCAGCCTCCAGCCAGGGAGGGAAAGCCTTGTGAGTGCGTAGGCAGCTAGGAGGGAGGTCAGTAGGCCTGGGACACTGAGTTGTGGTGGAGGGAGTGAGTCCTGACTCTCCCAGTTCTGCCCTCTGACTGCCTTCTCCCTTGATTCCCAACAGATTGGCACACAGAATAGCCTGGAGCTTCTTGAAGATCCAAAGGCCGAGGTGGTGGATGAGATTGCTGCCAAACTTGGTCTGAGGAAGGTAGAGGGCTTTTGTCCGCCATGTGGCCTTCGGGGATCTGGGCTCTGTGGCTGGGGTCTGGGGTCTTGGGTGTGGGGGGAAGGGCATAGGTCAAGCATAGGCTAGACCTTCGCATGTGTTCATTGGCTGCTGATAGCTTGTATAATCCTTGACTCAGTGAGGTGGGAATATTTCCTTAAGTCTAAATTCATGGCTATGCGGGGGACTCATACCTGGACTCCTAGCACATGGAAGGCTGAGGCAGAAGGGTGGAGGCCAGGTATTCAAGGCCAGCCTGGGCCACATTGTGTGAGCCCCATCTCGCAAAACCAAACCAACATCAATAAACGGAATAAATACATCATCCCACCTAACAGCATCTGCCAGCCTCAGTTCCTGAGGACGCAGCGAGGCTGCAGCAGGGCTCAGCTCCTCACCCAGTCTGTCTGGTGCCTCCATCACCCTTCAGCCTCCTGCTCATTAATTTGGAATCTACTTGATTTATGGAAAAGTTAGAAGGCAGGAGGAGAATTATTTTTCTGAATGTTGACCTTGTTTTGTCTCAAATCCTCTTTTTTTTTGTCAGTCGTAGGGCTTGAACTCTGGGCCTGGGCGCTGTCCCTCTCAAGGCTAGCACTCTACCACTTGAACCACAGTACCACTTCTGGTTTTCTGGTGGTTTTACTGGAGATAAGAGTTTCATGGACTTTCCTGCCCGGGCTGGCTTTGAACCTCGATCCTCAGATTTCGGCTTCCTGAGTAGCTAGGATTATAGGCGTGAGCCACCAGTGTCAGGCTTGTCTTATATACTTGATAATAAGATGTTAGATCAGTGTTTTTGGCCTTTTCTCAGTACTGGGGTTGAGTTCAGGGCCTTGTTGCTCTGCTGGAGTTCTATCCCTTGAGCCACCCCTACCCATGATTTTGTTGATTATTTTGGGTACATTCTCATGGTCTTTTCTTCCTGGCCTGAAACCTTGATCCTTTAGATCTTATTGTCCTGAATGAGAATCACAGGCTTGAGCCACCAGGACTCAGCTGATTTTGTTTTTTGATTTTGTTTTTGTTTGGATGTTTTATTTTTGAGATAGAATCTTGATCTGTAGTCCATGCTAGCCTCAAAACTCAGGATAACCTGCCTCAGCTTTCCTGGTGCTGGGATTAAAGGTGTGTGTACCAACACAGCCAGCTACGTAGGAAGCCTAATTCTTGCTGGATTATCTGTCTCTGCCATTGCACCATAAGCTCCCTCCTTCCACATCTGGCTAGTTTCCTGCCCACCACAGTGCATGGCACAGCTGGTGCTGAGTAGTGGCCTTTGTAACGAATCAGTAAGTCCTGCATTTGTCCAGCCCAGCAGCACCAGCAGGAGCTGTGTCTTCCCAATGGGGCTTGAAGCACTGGTATGCCTGTTATCTGAGGAATTGTTCACAGTTCGCCTGGTTCCTGAGAACAGGCTTTGAAGATACTTGTCAAGCTTCCTGCATCATGTATTGTAGGGAGTTTTTGTTTGTTCGTTTGTTTTGTCAGTCATGGGGCTTGAACTCAGCTCAAGATGAGTGCTTTACCTCTTGAGCTACAGCACCACTTCTGGTTTTCTGGTGGTTTATTGGAGATAGGAGTCTCACGGTCTCTCCTGCCCGGGCTGGCTTTGAACCGGGATCCTCAGATCTCAGCCTCCTGAGTAGCTAGGATGACAGGCGTGAGCCGCCAGCGCCCGGCTTAGGGGAGTTATTTAAAAGATACATTTTCTTTTTTCATTAAGGTTGGTTGGATATTCACAGACCTCATCTCAGAAGATACCCGAAAGGGTACAGTCCGATATAGTCGAAATAAGGTGAGTTGGAGACTGGCTTGGCCTTGTGGCTGGTCTGGTCTTGGTAAGTGGAAGCAGAGTCTCTTGTTGAGTCTGTCCCATTGCTTTGCCTTCACAGGTTTGTGGGAGTGGGTGCGCTCCTGTTATGGGTGCTTTCAGATGAGCATCTGTACTGCTCAGCATTACAAGTGTGTGTCAGTGTGGAGTTGGAGATGCTGGTGGTTAGCTCTCAACGTTTTCCCAAGAAGAAATGGAAGTTTATTTTAATGCTGTGCTGTGAAGTTAGAGCACCTTCTTGTTTCAGGACACTTACTTCCTGAGCGCAGAAGAATGCATAACTGCAGGAGACTTCCAGAACAAGCACCCCAACATCTGCCGGCTTTCTCCTGATGGGCACTTTGGATCCAAGTTTGTCACTACAGTAGCCACAGGTATAAATGCCTACAGAACAGAATAATGTTGTAAATACTCCTGCTCTGTTAATGGTTTGCTTTTCTTTTCTTTTCTTTTTTTTTTTTTGTGTCCGGTCCTGGGGCCTGAACTCTGGGTCTGGGCGTTGTCCCTCAGCTCTTCAGCTCAAGGCTAGCGCTCTACCACTTGAGCCACAGCGCCACTTCTGGCATTTTTTCTTTTTGCTTATGTGGTGCTGAGGAATCAAACCCAGGGCCTCAGGCATGCAAGGCAAGCGCTCTACCACTGAGCCACTTTCCCAGCCCCTGGTTTGCTTTTCTTCCCAGCATTTTTCTTTCTTTCCTGATAGTACTGGGCTTTGAGCTTGCTAGGCAGATTCTCTACTCTTGCGGTCGGTCCATCCTTTGCTTTATTGCTTTATATTTTGGGGGCTTTGGTCTCATGCTTTTTGCCTGGGATTAGCTTCAGACTGTAGTCCTCCTGTCTGAGTCTCTGATACAGCAGGGACTGTAGGTACACAGTTAGACACCAAGGTTCTTTGTTGAGATGGAGTCTCAATAACTTTTTGCCTGGGCTCACCTTGAACTGTAGCCCTCTATTCCCACTCTCCCAATCCCCCCCCCCCCTTTTTATTTTTGGCTGGTCCTTGGGCTTGAACTCTGGGCCTGGGCTCTGTCCTTGAGCTCCTTTCTTTTTTTTTTTTAATTGTGAAAATACTGTATAGAGGGGTTACAATTACATGAGCAAGGTAGTGAGTACATTTCTCTCCTTTTTTTTTTTCTGCGTCTGGTTGTGGGGCCTGAACTCTGGGCCTGGGCGCTGTCCCTCAGCTCTTCAGCTCAAGGCGAGCGCTCTACCACTTCAGCCACAGTGCCACTTCCGGCTTTTTTCTGCTTATGTGGTGCTGAGGAATCGAACCCAGGGCCTCAGGCTTGCAAGGCAAGCGCTCTACCACTGAGCCACCTTCCCAGCCCCAATGAGTACATTTCTTATTAAGCATTGTTGCCTCCTCCTGTTTCCCCTTACCATCCCTTCCCTCCCATCTCTCCCCCACATGTGCGTGTTCCCCTCCCTCCCCCCCCCGTTCTTTTTTGCTTAGAACTAGTAAAAGACCTTCAGCTCATGGTGAGTGCTTTACCACTTGAGCCACAGCACTACTTCCAGCTTTTTTGAGTAGTTAATTTGGAGATAAGAGTCTTACAGACTTTTCTGCCTGGGCTGGATCTCAGATCTCAGCCTCCTGAGTAGCTAGGATTGCAGGTGTGAGCCACCGGTGCCCAGCTATCATCTCTTTCTATCTCTTGAGTATCTGGGATTTACAGACATGTCCTAGCAACTTTCTGTTTGGGAAAAAAGTTGTTTTTTTTTTTTTTTTTGGGTCCGGTCATGGGGCCTGAACTCTGGCCTGGTCACTGTCCCTCAGCTCTTCAGCTCAAGGCTAGCCCTCTACCACTTGAGCCACAGTACCACTTCTGGCTTTTTTCTGCTTATGTGGTGCTGAGGAATCGAACCCAGGGCCTCATGCATGTAAGGCAAGCACTCTACCACTGAGCCACCTTCCCACCCCTCTCTTCCTCTTTTTCTCCGTCTTTCTGTCTCATTTGTTTGTTCAAGTTGTATTAGTTTACAGAGGGGGATTTTTTTCATTTCTGCTGCATTGCATGTGTGTATTTTTACCAAGGGTTGAACTCAAGGCCTCACACTCTTGTTCAACTTTCTCTTTTAAATTTATTTTATTTTATTGTTGTCAGTCATGGGACTTGATCTCTGGGCCTCGGCGCTGTCCCTGAGCTCTTCAGCTCAAGGTGAGCGCTCTACCACTTGAGCTATAGCACCACTTCCATTTTTCTAGTGGTTTATTGGAGATAAGAGTCTCATGGTCTTTCCCACCGGGGCTGGCTTTGAACCTCGATCCTCAGATCTCAGCCTCATGAGTAGCTAGGATGACAGGCGTAATCCGGTGCCCAGCTTTTATGTTTATTTTTTATTGTCATTATAAAGGTAATATGCAGTTACACACGTCAAATAAAGCACATGTTTCTTTTTGGACTGTGTCACCACCCAACAGTACCTGCATGCTGCCTCCCACTCCATTCACCAGTTGTAAAGTTCACTTTCAGCGTAGTCTCTAGTGAGCACCATTGCTGCATTTGTTTACCCTTTTGTTCCTCCATATCTGTGTCTCCTCTTACATTCCCAAAGACATACAAATGAGCTCAGCTTTCTTGTTCATAGTTGGCACTCTTTATCACTTGAGCCATGTCTACACTCCAGTATTTTGTTGATTAAATAAAGATGGGGTCTTGTAGTTTTTTGCCTGGCCTGGCTTCAAACCACAATCCTTTGATCTCATCCTCCTAAATATCTAGCATTACAAGTTTGAGCTACAGATCTTCTTTGTAGATTGAATTTACTTTTTGAAGAATGATAGAAGATGTCTGCATTTTCCCTATGTTTTTATTTGATAATGAAAACCTGTAAAGCATACTCATCTGAATCAGTTAAGTCAGATTTATTTTCCCTGATTGTTTTGGAGTCCAGTGCTGAAGGTTGTGGTTTTGGCTAAGATTGAACAAACAGGGTCTACACAGGCTAATGTGAGAGAAGTCACACAGTAGGGCACAGAGACTCCAGGGAAATGGGTGCTGCACTCCATAAAGTGAGCCGAGGAATTGTGCTTGGTGCATAGCTCTCCCCTGCCCCACACTGTTTGGAGAAGGGAAAGGGTGTGTTAAGTCTGTTCCCAGCGTGGAGGCCTGCCCCTGTGACTCTGTGTCCCCTGTGTCGAGGTCTGCCCCCATGGCTTGGTGTTAATGTCCACATTCAGAATGCTGTGGTTCCGCATTCATTCTGAACGTGGGGATTGGTGGTGTAGGCTGCTAGTTTTTATGCCTGTCAGATCCTGCCTTCTTTTCTGGAATGTTTTGACATTCATTACAGATGTGGAAGTCTTAAGATGCATTAGGCTGTCTACAAGGAGAACAAAGAAGTAGTGTAATTCTTAAGTGTGTTACAGGTTACACGATGACAAGATGGCCTGATAGGAGACAGATGACCTAGAGCAGGTGTAGCAGCTCCCTCAGGCTGTCGTGCTGGCCTCCATGCTGGCCACCAGAGCCACGGTCTCCCAAGGTGCTCCGTGTGCTCTGTGTAGCCTGAGAAAGTCAGGTCCTTCCCTTGGCTCACACGCTAATGTACTCCTCAGAAACCAAGTGCACATTGAGACAGTGTAGATGTTTTGGTGGTTGTTTTTGAAATAGAGTTGATTCTAAGATCATCATAGGATTTTATTTGCCTGTACCCGATTCTTGTGTGACACTCCGCTGTACCTGGCATCTTCAGCTCCTCAATAAAAATTGTCAGTTCCCTGACATTGAGACAGCCAGAAGTATCCTCTGCTACTTCGAACTTCTTTTACTGAGAATGACTTGTTTTGGCCTCCTATGAGCTTCCATGGTAACCCAGCCTTTTTAATTACTGTTTCTATGGGGAAATTGTCCCATGGGCCAAAAGAACTGGCACATTTTAAAATTATAAATAGTTTCCAGCTTGGGGGTTGCACTTTGGATTATTGAGTCATACCTCTTGTTGGGAGCTTAGAAATTGTATGCATTGTTCTTGAAGGTTTTGCCTCCAAAAATGGCACGTACAGAAAGGACATAGAACTATTGAGACAGTGACTAACTTCTTTCTAGTTCCTAATTAATGCAACCCGGGGCCTTGAACATTAAGCACGTGCTCTACCCCTGCTCCGCTAACCCCATTTACTACATGTTCTTCATTCAGTGTCCTTTTGTATCTGGATGCCTGTTCTCATTATCACCTTTTCCAGCTGCAGACTGATGATGCATTGTGATCCAGATCCTCACCCTTGACACTGCTTTTGTGACTCCAAATCCAGGGTGCTATTTGCCATGTATTAGAGTCCCCTGACAGGGAAAAGTGGGACTCTGTGGAGGTGCTAGAAAATGCACTTTCTGCAGTCCCGTTCCCAAATCCCTTGTTAAGAGAGGAAGGTGTCATCCTCATGAGCCTTCTTAGAAGCTGTGGGCCGCGGCAGGCTGCCCTCCACACTCCACTGGTGTGGTTATGTGTGGCAGCTTGCTTGAGGGAGCTGGAGAGGGTCAGGAAGGCTTTTGCGTTGTGGAGATGGACATATCTCCTGGTCTTCCTCACTTGGTTCCTGGGCGTGAACAGGACTTTCTGAGGATCTCATTTCAAAGCCAGAAGCACAGCTCAAATACAACCGCAGCTCCATCCTTCTTCTCAGAGCCTGAAGTCCACCTCTGTGAGTGCTCCATGCCAGAAGCTAGATGGGTAATTGGCCCAGTGGCCTTGGCATCTCACTCTGCGTGTGGCTCAACAAGATTAAGCCAACTTGAGAGGACAGGGCGTTATTCCTGTTCTGCCCAGGGCCTGACATTTCCATTTCTATCTTGGTGAAATGTCTTTGGAGACTACCATGAGACTCAGGTTGCAGGGCTGACTGGCCGACTGGCTGATTGATTGGCTGGCAGTACTTGGGGTTGAATTTGAGGCTTGCTAGGCAGGTTCTCTATTACTTTTTTTTTTTTTGGTTAGTCGTGGGACCTGAACTCTGGGTCTGGGCGCTGTCCCTCAACTCTTCAGCTAAAGGCTAGTGCTCTACCACTAGAGCCACAATGCCACAAAACCATTTCCACCCAGGCATGGTATTGCACATCCATAATGCCAACACTCAGGAGTCTGAGGCAGGAGGATCATCAGCTCAAGGCCAGCCCAGGCTACATAACAAGAGTCGTCTAAAAAAATCAAAACGAACCATACTGGAGATTCTGTCTTATTTATTCCTCTATACCTGTCACACTCCTCCCCTTCAGGTGAATCTACCCACTCCCGTTCTTCTTCACTCAGATGCTGACTGAAGCTGGTAGAACTAAGGGCTTTGTCCTTATATATTGGTATTGCTACAAACTGGAGGCCATGTACTTGATGCACAGCTTTGGAGCATTGGAGCAGATTTTGCAGTCTGGATTTGGGACTCTGTGCGTGGGGCCTGTGACTGTAGAACCATACTCTTACAATTTGTCCTATAGCTGCCAGCCCAAGACAGACTCCTGAGCTTTGTTTCTATTGTTCAGAAGAGTAAAAAACATAGGTTGGTTCTGAATGTCTTAGTAGATTCTCTTTGAAAGTCTGTCTCTTGCAGGTGGTCCAGACAACCAGGTCCATTTTGAAGGATACCAGGTGTCCAATCAGTGCATGGCGCTGGTCCGTGATGAGTGTCTACTACCATGCAAGGATGCTCCTGAGCTCGGCTATGCCAAGGAGTCCAGCAGTGAGCAGTACGTGCCTGATGTGTTTTATAAGGTACAGACATTTCATTCTACAAATACAGTGGGACCTTTACTTGGCCTCCTCCAGTGCTGGTGATTCTGGACTAATACTCACTTGTCAGTTACTGTGTTTTGGGGTCCTGCTTGTTGATTGAGGGGCCTGTCATATTTCTGGATCTTGTTATCAGCTATTTAGGCATTGATGGCATTGAGAGCAACATGCTCTGAATTTAGATAGGTGGCATCAAATCAGACCGCTGCAAGTAATGTTACTTCTAAAGTTGAAAAGGCGATGAAGGATGGATGAGACTATTACTAGGATTCCGTATACTATAACCCCTGTATTTATGATTCTTCTCCTTGGGAGGTTCTTTTTGTGTTTGTGTGTGTGTGCCAGTTGTGGGGCTTGAACTCAGGGCCTGGGCCCTATCCTTGAGCTTTTTAATTTTTTTCCTCCTCAAGGCTAGTGTTCTACCACTTGAGCCACAGCACCACTTCTGGTTAATTGGATATAAGAATCTCAGACTTCCTTCCTGGGCTGGCTTCAAACTGTATCCTTAGATCTCAGCCTCCTGAGTAGCTGGGAATACAGGTGTGACCCACTGGTGCCTAGCTCTTGGGAGATTTTTTTTTTTTGGTCAGTCATGGGGCTTGAGCTCTGGGCCTGAGTGCTGTCCCTCAGCTCTTCAGCTCCAGGTTAGCGCTATAGCAGCACTTCCAGTTTTCAAGTGGTTTATTGGAGATAAGAGTTTCACGGACTTTCCTGCCTGGGCTGGCTTTGAACCGTGATCCTCAGATCTCAGCCTCCTGAGTAGTTAGGATTACAGGAGTGAGCCACCAGCGCCCGGCTTCTTGGGAGATTCTTGCTACACACATTGGGCTACTTGAACTTACTCCACATTTTATTGATGCTCTGTTCATTTAGTTGTCTTTTTTTCCTATATGTTTCTATTTTGTCTTCAGATTCATTAGTAATCTTCTAGACTATTATACTTTCATTGCTAGGAGTTTTTCCTCTTTCCCTCTCTTACCCTTCTGTGCCTTTCCTTCCTCTTCCTTTCCCTCCCTTCCCTGGCCTACCAGTATTGGGGGTTGAATTCAGTCCTTCCCCTTCCCCTTCCTCTCCCTCTCTCCCTTCCTCTTTCCATGAGACTGGGACTCAGATTCACTGACACATGCTTTTACTCATTGTTTGGCATTCTACCTCATGGGTCATGCTTTTGCTGGTTAGAGATAAGTGTCTCAGACTTCTCTGCCTAGGCCGACTTGGAGCCTTGATCCTCAGATCTCAGCCTTCTGAGTAGTTAGGTTTATAGGTGTGAGCCACCAGCACCTGGCTTAATTTTGTCATTTCTGTTTCCATATTTTTAACTTAACCTCTGGAGATAGAGGATACAATTGGTGAGTGTTCTTATGTTTCTATCATTGTTCTCTGTTACCTGTTTGTGGAGCAGTCTTGTTTGATCTTTCTTCAGAGACTGTACTGGTCTCTGTATCTTCATCATCCTCCCTCTGTGTGAGTTTGTAGTGTGTGCCGTGCTTTGTGTAGGAAGCCAGGGATTCCACAGTATTTCTACTAACTAGGGCCCCTCCACCTGTGGGGGTGGCGTGCTGGTCGTCTGCCACTGCATGACTTCCTCTAGGCTCCTGTGTGTTTCTTTGGTCGGTTGTGGGGCTTGAACTCTGGGCCTGGGCACTGTCCCTCAGTTCTTTTGTTCAGGGCAAGCACTGTACCACTTGAGCCACAGTGCCACTTCTGGTTTTCTAATGGTTCATTGGAAATAAGAGTCTCATGGAGGGGGGAGGGTAGGTGGGAGATGGGAAGGGATGAGAAGGGGAAACAAAGGAGGAGGCAACAATGCTTGATAAGAAATGTACTCATTATCTTGTCCATGTAATTGTAACCCCTCTGTATGGTATTTTCACAATTAAAAAAATATATATATATGTATATGTATATGTATATATATATATATACACATATATATATATATATATGAGAGTCTCATGGACTTTCCTGCCCAGGCTGGCTTTGAACCTCGATCCTCAGATCTCAGCCTCCTGAACGGCTAGGAAGGATTACAGGTGTGAGTGAGCAGTGCCTGGCAAGCCTGTGCTTTTTTGTCAGGTGACATCGCTTTAAGTCTCCTGGGCTCAGAAAGGATATGGGAAGTAGAGTGTGTCTGTCAGAAGTGTTTGGTTCGCTGGGTCTTCTTGGCTCACTCCTTTAATCATAGCTACTCAGGAGGCTGAGGTCACATTTTGATACTGGCAAAATAATAATTGTTAACTGTGTTTTGTTTGATTCCTCTCATGGTGGCTTAATTAGGCTTACAAGATTCCTGCCCTTTGTGCCTGAAGATTTTGCTAGCTCTGTGGAGAACAGCATGGTGTTTGAAATCCCCATGTCCCAAATCCCCATCGTCCTAGTCTTTTGTGGAAGCTGGAGTCCAGGCTGGTCCTTATCTCCTGCAGTTATAATCTCTGCCAAATGTTGTGGGGAGGACATCCCTCTTAGTGTCACCAGGGCCTCTGGCTGGCGTTGCCTCTGGGCAGCTCTGCCCTCCTCCTGTCCACGCCTGAACTGTCTGAACCAAGCCAGCACCCTCCCTCACTTCCCTGTGGGTAATTAGGCTTACAAAGCGAGGCTCTCCCAATACCTTTCTTCCCTTTGTAGCCATGTGGATGATCACTTATCCGAGGATTGTTTATTGAAAGAAAGCACTCTCTCCTTTCCTTGTAACTTTATGATACATCTCTGTCATCGTACATCATAGGATAGCCTTTGAGGTTATACCACATGGAAGTGTATCCTTGATGTTTCCAGACTTTTCCAGGGCTGTGATCTCCCCTCAGGACTTTAAGTGCTTCGCTTAGTGCTGCAGTGTCTCCCGGAAAGCTCTGGGTTTGTTTGGGAAGGTCTTGCCCATTGAGGCTTGTCTAATCATTCTTAGGTACTTCATTTTTCAACACACTGCAAAATAGCGGCACTTTAAAAACTATGCCTTCAAACTGTTGCTGTTTGAAATGCGTAAATTTTGCATCAACAGCTCTGCAGCTGAGTTTTTCTATGCAGACATCTGATACAGGGAGGAGAGTTAGTTTCTTCCTTCATGTTTGTTTGGCATAATGTGCTGCTTAGTTTCCCAGCACGTTTTTTTTTGGGGGGATCAGTCATAAGGCTTGAACTCTGGGCTTGAGTGTATCCTACTCAGCTCTTCAGCTCAAGGCAAGCACTCTCTACCTCTTGAGCCACAGCGCTACTTCCGGTTTTCTAGTGGTTTATTGGAGATAAGAGTTTTACGTGGATCTACTTTCCTGCCCCGGCTGGCTTTGAACTGTGATCCTCAGATCTCAGCCTCCTGAGTAGCTGGGATGACAGGCGTGAGCCACTGGCACCCAGCTCTCCCAGCACTTTTAATGAAGGTAGCTGGAGTATTATCTTGCTTTTCATCTTATAGGAAGAGCTTTCAGATTTCATCATTAACTAGAGTTTGCCAGAGTTAACTAGAGTCTTTGTCTTGTTGTTGTTGTTTAATACTTTCTATCAGGTTGGATTTTGCTGCTGCTTTATTTTTTTTAACTTGGACTGGAGTTTGAACTCAGGACCTGGTGCTTGTTTGGTTTGCTTGTTATTATGACTGGTGCTCTAGCACAGATGCCAGACCTCCAGCCTGACCTTTTGCTGATTATTTTGGAAATGGAGTATCACTGTCTGTGCTGGCTTTGAGCCTTGATCCTCTTGTTCTCAGTCTCCTGAGTACCTAGGATTGATTACATGCATGAGCTACTGACATAGCTTGGAATTTACTTTGTCATTTCCATGTTTCATTGTATACTTCTTGCACTTTAGAATTGTGTTCCCTCTTGTCATGAAATAGTTATTTCTTTAATCATCTGTTATTTTTATAGTTTCATCTGCCCTCGGTGAATGCAGGTAGGAAATACGTCCTCAACATCTTGCAGCCCTGTAGAATTTGAGATCCTCATTTATGATGCTTCAGCAAAATATCAGTCAGAAGAAAGAGAAGTGTACAATCAAACACCGAAGTAATCTCTTTGGCTTTGGTCCTCTTGTGGACTTTGGTTTTATTTAAAATATACTTTGTAAATGAGCTGCAACAGTGTTTACCTGAGGCTGCTGACACCATGTTTTGTTTTGTTTTTTTTTCTCCCGGTTGTGGGGCCTGAACTCTGGGTCTGGGCGCTGTCCCTCAGCTCTTCAGCTCAAAACTAGTACTCTACCACTTGAGCCACAGCATCACTTCCGGCTTTTTTCTTTTTGCTTATGTGGTGCTGAGGAATCAAACCCAGGGCCTCATGCATGCAAGGCAAGCGCTCTACCACTGAGCCACGTTCCCAGCCCCAGCTATGGTTGTTTTGCAGTCATAAACACTGGAACAGTTGAATAGTGAATCAGCAAGGGGACGCTAAATTATACTGCATCTCCATGGCAGAATGCTGTAGAGATGTGAGGTAGAATTCCTGATGTGAATTAAAAGTGAAACTGTAAATATCCCACAGTTTTGTGTTTTGAGGACGTGTCAGTGTTTGCACATGTTCAGTGGGAGGGTTTCTTGTGCACAGCTCTGTTATTTACCCCATGCGACCAGGGAAGCAGGTAAAGCAGTGGGCACAGAGACCCTAAGGCTGAAGGAGTTTGAAGGCCTGAAATGCAGTGCGTGGTGTGTGTTCTTTGAAAAACAGGCACACATGGAGGCTAGGAGGCTATGAGTGGACGTCAGTCTCCTCCTAAGAATGGTGTTTTATCTCTTTAGATGTCTTCCCTCCTGTGTGTGTGCATGGCACGTGGTTCCCCCCCCCCCCCCCGGCTCCATACATGTCTAAATTCAGTGAACTCAGGACTTTGTGTTCTCACTTGACTTATTTGCTCAAGGCTGGTGCTCTACCACTTGAGCCACATTTCCATATCCAGCATTTTTTTTGTCAGTCATGGGGCTTGAACTCTGGGCATGAACACTGTTGCTCAGCTCTGCAGCTCAAGGCCAGTGTTCTACCACTTGAGCTACAGCA